TTATCTTCCAGGCATAATGCAAACACTCATTCCTCTTGCTTTAGTAATTAGAAAATATTAAGTGAAACACTTTTTTTTTCACTAAAAAATGCCTGTCCTCTCACTTTTTAATGAAACTCTAGGTCCCAAGGATATAATCTGATGGTAAATGAGGGAGAAAGCTATTATCAACTTACACATGCTTCACGTAGACTACTCTTCACAAAGCTATGAGAAGGTATATTGTGCCTTTCTGAGGGGGATAAATGCTCATGAGATCTACATGATCTCAGCTCACCATTTTTACAGCTCCTATATGTCCCTACACTAAGTGGAAGGTAGATAGAGATTTCAGGCATTCACAAAATTTTAGTGACCCTTGAGACCTGAACATTTGTATGAGTGAAAATTTTCCACTAAATCCAGATTTTCATGTAGTAGGCAAATGAGGTTGTAACAAAGTGTACTTAAAGGTTCACAGAGCTTGTTATGAGGGACAGGTTTTAATTAAGAAAAGCTCCAGAAGGTATGTCCCTTAAAGAGGGCAGATAAATACCAGAACTTTCCAGACTTTGATGCCTGTATCCGTTTTCTAGGGCTGCCATAACAAAGTGACACAGATTGGGTGATTTAAACTACAGAAATTAATTTTCTCATGATTCTGAAGGCTAGAAGTCCAAGATCAAAGTGTCAGCTGGGTTGGATCATTTTTAGGGATTCTTTGGTCTAGAGATGGTCGCCTTTTCTCTCTGTCGTCACATGGTCTTCCCTATGTGCTTCTGTCTTCTAATCTCCTCTTCCTAAAAGGATATGAGTCATATCCAATTAGGGCCCACATATATGGCCTCATTTTACCTTAATTAACTCTTTAAAGGCACTATGTCCAAATACAGTCACATTCTGAGGTAATGGGGATGAGGACTTCAATATATGAGTGGCGGGGGGTGGGGGCGCGGAATTCCATCCACAACAAATCCCAAGGGATTTAGTTTTCTAAATGAATTTAGAAATTACACAGCTACTTACACAGCTACTTTGGGCCTGGCCTCTGATGTTATGAGTTCAAGTGATTGTGATGTCGGTCTATTTGATGTAACTTCTGAGTTTTTGAGCCCAAGTATTTTGGACTTAGAGATGGGGTAAAACAGAAGTGGATTTAATGCTCTGGGGGGCAATTTTAGGAATTCTCAGGTATTTTCCATATTAATCAAATAATAACACATATGGATATAGGATATATTATTCTACCCTGGTACCCAGACTGGCTGCTAAATTTACAACTGCATCAAGAGATTTGGTGGTAGCAATGTGGACACAGATGTAGAATCCTATCAATTCAATGTCACATAAATAAATGGTTTCTTCTTTTCCACTGAATATTCAATTCAGATGAAAGCAGCTGCCTAGTTGCTTGATTTCAAAAGAACACTTGTTCAATAAATTCATAGTGAAGAGAGCAAGGAAAATCTAAGTGAATGAATAATAAGATAAATGATGTGGTGCTCCAAAAATATTTCTTTAAATGTATGTTTAAAATTTCTCTTTTGGGATTTGAATGCTTAAACAGTGGTATAATACTTCATTTAATAAAAAACACATAATAAGGGAGCTAGTAATTATTAGGACAACAAATTCCTGATTACCACCAGTCAGCTTTATGGAAGTCTACAGGAATTAAAGTTCTAAAGCATGAATACATTAGCAGCCATTTCACACTTTGTTAGACTGACTTCAAAATTCTGAAAGGCAATGTTGATATCGAAGATTTTCCTTGAAATACAATGCTGCCTACCTTTCTGAGTTATTATTCCTCGATACATTAAAGGCAGGATAGGTCTGCCATATTTATCCTATTCTGTCTGATCTTTTCAATACTCCAGAAAATTATGAGTGCCTAGAAAAATAGAACTGTCCTGCTTCATTTTTGCTCTAAATCTTAATTTACCTTTCTATTTGTATCCCTGATGAAAGACTGCTCCTGTGTTTACTATTTTAGTTTCTGATACTTGAGTGCTTTTATTTAAATGAAATAACAATTGAAGGACAAAGAAATAACAACCTTTTTAAAAAACCTAGCTCTGTAGCCTTATTTGATCATCAGGCTTTCCCACTACAGAGGCTTTATTATTCACAACTTAAAATCATACAATTACCTTGGCTATTAAAGAAAAGACATACTATAAAATAGAGGTGTTGGGGAGATTTCACTAAGAGGAAATTTCAAGGAGATACTACTACTCAGCTCAATAGAATGTAAATCCCAAGGACAATTGGGTTTTAAATATAAAATCATAACTCCAGTTGCAATCAGAGAATGTTATTACTAGAAGAGATTGATAAACCAATTTGCTACTTTAACAGATGAGAAAACTGAGGCCTAGAGAGATTGATGGCTTATTCAATTAAGAGACTTTGAGACTTTTATTGTAGGAAACTGCAAATTGTGAGTTTTTATAGGTACTCTTCTTTCACTTAAAAAAAAATGCCTCCAGCTAATAGAAAAAAAATTTATTTCATTTGGATTAAAACTATCAAGATATTATTGGAGGCTGTGAATATGTGGTTCAATGTAGTTCAGATAAAAAGTATATGTAAAATATTAATTTAACAATTTCTTGATTACTCCTCTTTTAGATTGTTGTTTAAAAAAATCATTTGTAACTCTAATCTCTCAAAAGATATTAAGGACTGCTTTGTCCATTTATTTTTGGCCCGTGTCTTTGATGTAGCTTCCACGCGGTAAAATGGATTTACAGTTCCTCCTATGTGAAACCATACGGATAAACTCAAAATCAGGATGCAAACACATTGCTAGTGGGCTTCCCCAGTGGCGCACTGGTTGAGAGTCCGCCTGCCGAAGCAGGGGACACGGGTTCGTGCCCCGGTCCGGGAAGATCCCACATGCCGCAGAGCGGCTGGGCCCGTGAGCCATGGCCGCTGAGCCTGCGCGTCCGGAGCCTGCGCTCCGCAACGGGAGAGGTCACAGGGGTGAGAGGCCCGCATACCGCAAAAAAAAAAAAAAAAAACATTGCTAGTAATTCTATTCTGTGGTATATTTTAATAGCTCATTTATCCTCTGCAATTGGCTTAAGAGGGTACTTGTTCTGCTCTATAATTCAAGAAATACCCCCACACACACACAAAATCACCTGAAAATTCAATCCTAATTCTCTTTTCTGCCAGAACAAAAGGATATGGAATTGTTTTCCACATGTTTGGTGAGGGGAAGAAAAAGAACAAATGAATATGCGAAACAAGTGTGAATAAATGAACAAGATACATAAAAGTTATAGGTGAGTGAAGGGTATTAAATTAGATCAGCAGTCCACAACCTTTTAGGCACCAGGGATGCGTTTTGTGGACGACAATTTTTCCATGGACGGCGGGGGTGGGGGTGGGGATGGTTCAGGTGGTAACGGGAGCCTTGGGGAGCCATGGGGAGGCGGGGGTGGGGGGGGATGGTTCAGGTGGTAACAGGAGCCTTGGGGAGCGATGGGGAGAGGCAGATGAAGCTTCGCTTGCTCACCTCCTGTTGTGCAGCCAGGTTCCTAACAGGCCAAGGACTGGCACTGGTCCGTGGCACGGAGGGTTGGGGACCCCTGGATTAGAGGTTGTCATATGTAAAGCTCTTGTGTTTTTCCCAACTCTGAATCATTTAAAAGGTAGAACTTTTAATTGATGGAGATGAAACAATGGCCTGTATTAATGATAAAGCTCATACTTAATTACTAATTGCATCTTAAGCGCGTGGTCCCGATATGTTCTTGTTTCGAAATCCAAGAATTTTTCAGAATAAATGAACCAGATGCAGGTAACAATAGAGAACCCTGGGCTTCACAGTGTTGGGATACTGAGAGCCATGAGGGGACAGAGCTGGTCAGATGAAAACTGCTTGCTCTGTCTGGGCAGCTGGTTTCTAGAAATAAGGAAAGAGGAAGGGGTCTGATCTGCAGGTGCTAATTTCTATTCCCAAAGACACCACTGGAATTCACCAGAAAGAAGGAAGTGAGTGACCTGGGACAGGACAGAATCATAACTGGTTAAGATCTCTTGACACAGAAACAAGAAGCAGAGTTAGATTCCTTGTGAGAGAAAGAGAAAGCTAGTTGCAAAGAAAAGGCCTGTAACAAGTCCCAGTGAAACATATCCTGGGTTCCCACAGCATCAAACTCACAGCAAATTGTTGATTCAATTAAAGATTAACTATGACAAGATTTCATCACTATCTTTGATGTTATTCTCCTAATATGTTTTGTATTTTAGTAGAGAATTGGTATGAACTGAGGAAACTTAAAATTTAGAAGGAGTTCAATTCTAAAGATGAAATGATTACAATCTTGGAAGTAGTACCAGCTCCCATAAAAAAAGGAAAATTTAAAAATGGAAAAAATTGAGGTATTAAAAATATATATATTAGAAAATAAATTCATCCGTATTTCCAAACCCAACTGTATCACTAAGTATTATTTTGTATATTTCCAGTTTTTTCCTCTGAGAATATATAGTCTACATTCATTAAAATTTTGCAAATATAGTTTATATTCATAAAAATTTTATATATGCGTATATATAACCAACTAGAACTACAGATAGATAGAGATATATTGTACATACAGATATAGAAATATATAGATACAGATTTTGTGTCTTCACCATTTCAAATTAAGCCTATATTCTATTCATACTTGATGTATCTTAAAACCCTAATAAGGTATAGGCTATAATGACCAGGAAATATTTATTTTTAATTCAACATATACAGAAGCCTGTGCTACACAGTGATGTTGGCGATAACAAAAAATAGAAATCACAACTGTTGCTCCGAAAGAGTTTACAACTGGGGGGGTGGGAAACAAACATATATCTAAAAACAAAAACTCATACAGAAAGTAGGAGGTAGTTAATGTCAAATGAGAGGTAAAATAAGTGTAAAGAATTTACAAGGGGACTTCCCTGGTGGTCCAGTGGTTAAGACTCCACACTCCCAATTCAGGGGGCCGGAGTTCAATCCCTGGTCAGGGAACCAGATCCTGCATGCCGCAACTAAGACCCGGCGCAGCCAAATAAGTAAATACATAATTTAAAAAAAAAAAGAATTTAGAAGGAAATGGAAAATGTCCTGTAGATTAGGATGGTCTAGGAAGGCTTCATGGAAGAGTCAGGGCTTAAACTCAGTCCTGAAGGATTACTGTGGTTAATGTAAGTGGAGGGGCAGTAGAGGGAATCCAAATAAGAAATACTGATACAATAAAAGTACACAATAATTCTCTCTTTGTGGTAAACATTTAGTAGACCTGCTTGATTAGAAGAGGGAAGGAAGAGAGAGAGAGAATGTAATGAGGAACAACATACATGTTATATTCATCCATCCATCCATCCATCCATCTATCCATTCATCTATCCATCCATCTACCAAGCACATAGTTAGGGAGTTAGGTAAGGCGCAGAGCTAGGATTTGAACTAGGGTTGCTGTGCATTCAAGCTTATATTCTTTTTATAAGTATGAAATGTTTTCAATACATGTTTGCAAGAGCTGAGCTGTGGATGTAGAGATAGTGAGTTTCTTTATTACTCTTTTCCAAGAATTAACTTGATACGTTTAACAGATGTACGTCAAGAAAGCAATGCTAAAGAAAGAAAAAAAGCTATGTGAGCAGACATGCGTTGGTATATGTATATGTGTTGAGTATGTGTACAAAAGAGAAGGTCATTCAGCCATTGTTAACCACATCCATGTCAAAAGAAGTAATGAATTATCTTCTTCAGCACTGTATTTGCTTTCTGATTTGTACAAGATCTCTTCTATTCCATTAGTCCTTTGAAGTGCTGCTCACCAAGGAGATTATAAGGTGGGAAGAAAGAGAGGATGAATGAACGCATGAGCAATCTTCATCATAAGGAGAAACAGCTCCGAGCACACTTCATGCTGAAAGCAGATGGGGGAAGGTAGACAGAAGCTGTACATGTGTTCAAATTTTCAGTATCATTGGTTTTATGTAGTCCTTTGAAAGATCACAGAAGTACTCTGTGCCCAAGTATGGACATCTGTAGAATTACATAGGGACTGAGTAAGAGGATAATTAGACTATATGTAAATACCCAGTGTATAGTATTTAAAAGTTGATTGGGGGGAAAATGTCTCATCTTTGTATATAAAAAATAATGATGTATTTTTGTCTGTCAGAATCTACATGATGATTGAGATGTGCAGATGGATAGACTGTAGGATGAAAAAAAGGGCAGGTAAGTACAGGTTTATTCATATATCACAGATTAAAATAAGAACAAGAAAGGCACACGTGTTAGATTCTGACTTAAATCATTAATGTGACTTAACAGTGCAGAGAATAGTACATGAGTTCTGTTTTAGATTTCTAAAATGTTCTATTTCTGCTATGATGAGTTGAAATCCTCCTATTCTACTCCCACAAAACAGTTATAATACATTAAACGATCATTTTAAAGGTGTTATCTGGGGAACCAAGGTGAAATTGAAAAAAAAAATCAAATCTCTCAACTCTGTTACTATTCCTAAAATAAAAGAAGTAGGACCAGCTCATATAAAAAAATAGATTCTTGTGGTAACCTACATACTCAGATTTCTTCATTCTCCTCTGCCATGTATTAAAAGAAAAATAAGAGGGCTTCCCTGGTGGCACAGTGGTTGCCTGCCAATGCAGGGGACATGGGTTCGTGCCCAGGTCCGGGAGGTTCCCACGTGCCTTGGAGCGGCTGGGCCCGTGAGCCATGGCCGCTGAGCCTGCGCGTCCGGAGCCTGTGCTCCGCAATGGGAGAGGCCACAGCAGTGAGAGGCCCGCGTGCAGCAAAAAGAAGGAAAAAAAAAAAAAAAATTAGAATCCTCATATGTATCTCCAACTTATGTTTTGTGTAAATCAGTTTTAGTGATACGTGGGATGGCCAGTCATTGTGATGTTATCAAGTTATACGATCTTTTGAGATTGGCAACTGACGGTCATGGAAAAGATAAGTAATTTCAAAATTGCTAAGTAACAATATGAACATGATCAAAGAAAGCAAAGATGCAATTTACCTCACCATTGGTGATTTTATGAGGCACCATCCATAGTTAAACGAATTCACATTGATCCAAAGGCGTTTTACTAGCACTCGGCAATGCTAGCAATTTAATGTAGCTCAAGATTCAATAAAAGGTAGACTTTATTCATCAAAAAAGAAAAATTTTTTTTTTTTGAAGATCACGGGGGTCGCGACCGGCTGAGACCCCTGGCCCACCCCCGCGCCGAGGGTGGCGGAGGACCCAGGCGCAGACATCAAAATGTTTTTAAAGGCTATTTTTTCTTTGCCTTCTTTCGTGGTTTAGTAGATTGGAACCTTTAAGGTATTCCAAAAGGGTTAACTACATTTATTTACAAGTGAGTTAATATCCGCTGATAAAATAATCTTCAGAAATGAATATTATATACTATTTTAGAACTCCGAAATAATAAATTATCTGGCAAATTTTTTGTTTCAAATAAGCCATCAGTATTAGATACAATTAAAATTAATAGACTGAAGATTGGGTGAATTTTAAACAATATACTATAGTTATTAGAGACACAATCTTCTCAGCTTGTAGTTGACAGAAGAAACAGTACCATTGTCTCTGATTTTCTTGGGAAAGTCACTATTATATTTTAAGCCCTTCTTTGATATTTTACTAAAGCACAGCAAAAATCAAAGTTCTTTCTTCTTCAGATGGTTTGAAACAGAATCAAATCTTAAGGCATTTTGGGGGGATTTTTTAATCTGCTTTTTTGATTAGTTCTGCATTGATGTGTTAAACTTAAGAATTAACGAGTATGAAATAACATTTTTGGGATATTTTTACAATCTAATTTTTCTCCTCTAAATCCTGATATAATTTGATGGTCTGACTAAACAAGTTGATGATTTCATACATCTATTTACAGTGTTTCCAAGATCCAAATTTATATCACAAGTTGGAACTCACAATGTTTTGTCTGCTGTTTTTGCTTGTCTAGTTTGGTTTTTAAGGCACCCTCACCCTCTGGCTCGTGTTTCCTGTTATTTTAGGTCACCTTTAGTTCCTCTTTGATTTGAAAGATTTTGCTTCTGTGTTCTCTTAAGGGAGAATGTTTATAATGGTTTGTGTGCCCACACTCCATCATGGAGAATAGGCAGTTTTGAGAAATCATGCTATACGTATCTTTGGCTTTCCCAATGACTTCCATTTTGGAAAGAACAAAAAAGACTCTGTGCTTTCACTCTTTCAATTTTTTTTTTTTTTTTTTGCGGTACACGGGCCTCTCATTGTTGTGGCGTCTCCCGTTGTGGAGCACAGGCTCCAGACGCACAGGCTCAGCGGCCATGGCTCACAGGCCCAGCAGCTCCGCGGCATGTGGGATCTTCCCGGACCAGGGCACGAACCCATGTCCCCTGCATCGGCAGGCGGACTCTCAACCACTGCGCCACCAGGGAAGCCCATCTTTCAATTTTTTTAATTAAAAAATATTTGACATACAAGATTTAAATTTAAGGTATACAACATGTTAATTTGATGCATTTATATATTGTAATATCATTGCCATTGTGTAATAATTAACTCCTCTATCATGTTACATAATTACTTTCTTTTTAGTGGTTGAATGATTAAGTTCTAGTTGATAATTATAGTATAATATTGTTGTCTGTATTCACTATACTATGCATTAGACCTCTAGGGCTTATTTACTCCTCCTTACAAATTCGTACCCTTAAACATCTGTCCTGTTCCCTCACCCCATCCTCTGGTGACCACCATTTTACTCTGCATTTACAGATCTGACCTTCTCAGATTCTACATATAAGTGATACCATACAGTACTTGTCTTTCTCGGAGAAAGACTTATCTCAAGACTCTGTGCTTTCTGAAGATCAATGCTTTCAGAAAGACTGAAATGCTTTCACATCAGAGGGGGAAATATCAAAAGAATTTCCCCATCTTTTAGTATAAATTAATGAGAAATTCAAAATTTTTCTTTCCACTTGAAGCCTCCCTTCACCTCTGCTTCTGAATATTATACATTTTTTCCTCTGTAAGAGACTTTTTCTTCCCCAGAGCCTTTCTGATATGGGGGAATTAATATTTCATCATACAATTATAAATGTCTGCCTTGGCAGAAACTTTTCTGTCTGTTGTTAACACGACTCTTAGGGTAGCCTCTTCAGATAAGGCTTTCTAGCGAGTGGGCAGCAGCTTTTAACATGGACATGGCACACAATGATGGGATATAAATGTATAAGCACCATTCAAATTAAAGTTCTTATCAGATAAAATTGGACTTGCAGGGGGAAAATGTATTTCGTTTTTGAGTTTATGCAGTACTCTTATTATCCCAAGTGCGTTTATGTATAAGACGACTTAGGGAATCTTTCTATATGTCATACTGCTATTCTGCAGGGAAAGAAATCATTACAAACATGTTCCTTCACAATAAGAAAGTGCAAATAAATTTCCAAATGTGTTTCAAAATCAAGAGTAATTCCAGATTTTATGGTGTTAATAGCATAGCGGTAAAAAACCCTCAAATATCCCTGGTTTAAATTCCTAACAGTCCATGTAATTGCTTTGTGATCATGAGCAAGATAGTTAGCTGTAATTTTCCTGTTCCTCATTTTAAGATGGAGATAATACTAGTACACTTGTCCTAGGGTTGTGGTGAGGATTAAAGAAGAGATGGCATAACACAGGGATTAGCTATTATTATCTATTATTGTCATTAATTCAGGTCTATACTTTCATAATAGATTAAAATAATTACTGTTTCTACTTTCACACTCCTTAATACACTGTCAAATCTCTTTCTTCCTACGGCTCTTTTCATTTCATGAAAACTGCTTTATTCCAGTTCAGTAACGACTTGCCATTTGCTGAATAACTGAGCGTTTTTTAGACCTGATCCTCCACTCACTGAAGCTTTTGACACTTCACCGGTGCTTCTGTCTCGATACTCTTTCCTATTTTGCCTTCTCAACTGGTTAGAGAACACAGAGGAATCTCAAAGTGTGAGCGTTCTCTCTTCCTGCCTAGCTACTAAGGAACTCTGCTGTTTTAAGGATGTGCCCCGTGCTCTGTGCCCTACATGCCGTTAACACCTATGCCCTTCTTTCCGGACTACGTGAGTTGACTTTTCCAGTATGAGTTTTCCAAAGGTAAAGGCAGCAAATTTATATATTTGCTCCTTAAAAGGATGAGATGTGATTACCCGTCAAAACCGAGACATTATTTGAATGAAAAGCTATGCTTGTAACAACAAGCATATGGTTGTAGGTCCTAGCTGTAGTTTGATAGATTATCTATGCTCCCTTAGTGCTTTATCATATGTCACTGGGGTCCAGATACTTTGGATATGGACTTTGGCCTTAAGAAGTAAGCCCAAAAAATGCAGCATGGCTGGGAATCTGTAGGTGAGGTAAGGATCTTTAATATGGTCCCTGGTGACTTTTTTATTGGAAGTCAGGTATAATTGCCTCTCCCATTAGGAACAGGTGATTAAGAGACAGAAGAACATTAAAACATGAAGCATCAAGAAAAGTCTGGCTATTGTTGCTGCTATTTTAACACAAACAGGCAAGAGAGGTACCAGCTAAAGAACAGTAAATATTTCAACAGCAAGACAAGATCTACGTTAATGGTTCTCAAATTGTAATGCACATAAGAATCATCTGGTTGTTTATTAGAACTACAGAGCCTCGATCTCCACATATTTGGGGAAGTTTTTAGAGGATACCTTATATGTGCTCTCAGAGAAATCCCCTCTGCTGACTGCTGGTGCTCTCCTGCTGAGACCACCAGGCATCTGATGTGCCCCCGGGAGTCCACTCTGTCGCTGGGTATCCTGGCTACACCTGGACTCTATTTCTTCTCTCAGAAGATGCTTCTCTGACAGAACACTGTTTCCCAAGGGCCAATAAAAAGCCAAGTACCAACATCCCTGAGATTGTAGAACACTCCTGCCTTCTCTGTGGTTCCCTCTGCAATGGAGTCCAGTGTTACAATGCTCTGCACAGAACAGGGAATGCACTGCGGCCTTATCAATCCCCTGCCTGTTGACTCATCACCCATATTCTTGCAGGAAACTTAACTCTCTTCTCCCTTTTTCCCCCATACATATCAGGCAGCAAATACATCTTAGTGGTGACTGGCTGCTTATATACTGTCCTGTTTGAGGCCCGTTGCAGACACCGCAATGACATTTTCGTCTGAATTTTTACAGTGG